TTTTTTTTTTTAAAGCCTGAGTCTCACTCTGTTGCCTTGGTGTCATAACTTACAGTATCCTCAAACTCTTGGGTTCAAGCTGTCTTTTTGCCTCAGCCTCCCAAGTAGCTGGGACTACAGGTGCCTGCCACAACGCCTAGTTAGTTTTGCTATGTTTTTAGTAGAGACAGAGTCTCTTGCTCTTGCTCAGGCTGGTCTCAAACTCCTGAGCTCAAACAGTTCACCCACCTTGGCATCCCAGAGTGCTAGGATTGCAGACATGAGCTACTGCACCTGGCCTCAGTGATATTCTAAATGGAATTATTGAACAGTATGTTATAATTAATTAAGAAAAGAATTAACGTATATACTTATATAATTAATACTTCAAACTTTCTAGAAACATATATAAGAAGATTTGAATGGGGCTGGATACTGTAGCTCGCATCTATAATCTCAGCACTTTGGGAGACTGAGTTGGGAGAATCACTTGAGGTCAAGAATTTGAAACTAGCCTGGGCAACATAGCAAGACTCTATCTCTTCAGAAAAAAAAAATTAGCTAGGCATGGTGGTATAGCTGTATTCCTAGCTACTTGGGGGCTAACTGGGGAGGACTGCTTGAGCCCAGGAATTCAAGGTTACAGTGAGCTATGACTGAGTCACTGTACTTTAGTCTCAGTAACAGAGCAAGACCCTGTCTCTACCAATAAATTTTGAATAAAGGAGATTTCAATGAATGCAGAGAGAACTTGTTTTTATATGTGAAGACTAAGTATGCAAGTTTTCAGTCATTCCCAAGTAATATATTATTTTAGGGAGATTCTAGTTAATAGCAAACAACCACGAAATATATATATATTTTTAGAGACAGAGTTTCACTTTATTGCCCTTGGTAGAGTGCTGTGGCGTCACAGCTCACAGCAACCTCCAACTCCTGGGCTTAGGTGATTCTTTTGCCTCAGCCTCCCAAGTAGCTGGGACTACGGGCCCCTGCCACAACACCCAACTATATTTTTGTTGCAGTGTGGCCAGGGCTGGGTTTGAACCGGCACCCTCCGTATATGGGGCCAGTGCCCTACCAACTGAAACACAGGTGCAGCCTGAAATTTTTTTTTTTTTTAAACTTGAACTTTAGGATCACTCTGATATCTGAAAGGATGGAGGTTTAGAAAAGTAAGGGTTTTAGTACTGGTCCAGTATAACAGTATTTCAGAAATAGCTTCGATTATATAGAAAAAAATGTAATTTACAGTAAGTAACTGGAGAATTTATTCATATTTCTGAATTTCACTTAGTTTTTATTAAGTAGTGATTTTATAAAATAAAACTCATTCTATATATAAAAAAAGAAAGGATTTAATTTTTTTTTTTTGAGACAGTCTCACTACGTCACCCTGGGTAGAGTGCCATGGCATTATAGCTCACAGCAACCTCAAACTCTCTGGGCTTACAAGTGATTCTCCTTCCTCAGTCTTCCGAGTAGCTAGAACTACAAGCACCCATCACAACACCCAGCTATTTTTTGGTTGGAGTTGTCATTGTTTAGCAGGCATGGGGCTGGGTTCAAACCCACCAGCCTCAGTGTATGTGGCTGGTGCTCTACTTCTTGAACTATAGGCGCTGAGCCAAAAGAAAGGATTTAACATGATAAATCAGTGTGAAATAGGATTCTTGTAAATGAGATAATGTTGTAATTGGTTTAATAGTGTGGAAAGAAGATCAGTTTTAGACTCAGCTCCTACTATATAGTAAATGGTGCCAAATAGGCAATAAACTATAACTACAGAATATAAAACATAGAAAAATTAAAAGATAATTATATGAAATGTTTATTAAAACTCAAACTATATCTAGATAAGAGAGGGTTTTTTGGTTGTTTGTTTTTGGTTTTTTTGAGACAGAGTCTCAAGCTGTTGCTCTTGCCTCAGATTTTCTATTTTTAGTGGAGATGGGGTCTGGCTCTTTGGCTGGTCTTGAACTCATGAGCTCAAGCAATCCACCTGCCTTAGCCTCCCAGAGTGCTAGGATTACCTCGCCCAACCAGAAAATACAGATTTGAATCTATACAATCTAAAGCTTACATAGGTACAAAAGTCCAAAATAAAAAGGAAAGCAGCATACAGGAAGAGCACATGTGAAAGATCGATGATGTTAATAGTAAAGGATTATTTTTGATCTCTAATTTGGGTAAGGTTTGTGTAAAACTTAGAATTAATTATGTTTTTTGTTGATGTAAATAGAAGTGGTTTGGACTGCGATTTGGCAGTAATTACCAAAAATTTTAAATATTCATGCCCTAAGGCCCAAGAAGTTAATCTAATATGGTACCTAGAATAATGAAATAACTTAAGGTTTAGGAAGAAAACCTTGCACACATAGGAAGTTTCTTGTAGTGATATGTACACACACACACACACACACACACACTCAGTAGAACCTATATAAGTTGACCACCCAAAGGACTGTTAACAAAATGGTCAACATAAAGAACTAGGTTTGCTGTACTCATACCTGTGTGTAAATTGATACATGTGCATGTCCAGTCGAGGAAATTAGGTCAACTTCAGGAGGGATCAATCTAGGGAGGTGGTCATCTATGGAGGTTCTATTGTATACACTAAAGATATTGGAAAATTGGAAATAGCCTATATTTTACCAATAGGAATGTAATTAAATAAGGCATTTATTTGTTGAAATATTATGTAGTCATTTAAAAATACAATTATGAAGTCTATACAGAAGCATGGTAAGGTGTTTATGACAAAAATAACAATGTAAAATCAGGAATGAAAACCATTTTAAATTTTAGCTATGCATAATGGATGCTAAAGACAAAGGATAGTACAAATGAAGTTTTCTTAAGATCATGGGTTTTGTGTGTTTCACCCTTTAATTTTCATTGTTATAAAATATGCTTTCATAATTTTAAGAAAATTGTCATCCAGTGACTTCACAATAAAATCTTTATTTTTTTTTGAGACAGAGTCTCACTGTGTTGCCCTAGGTAGAGTGCTCTGGCATCACAGCTCTCAGTAACCTCTAACTTTTGGGCTTAAGCAATTCTCTTGCCTCAACCTCCCAAGTAGCTGGGACTACAGGTGGCCACCACAATGCCTGGCTATTTTTTGTTTGTAGTTGTTATTCTTGTTTGGTAGGCCCAGGCTGGATTCAGACCCACAAGCTCCAGTGTGTGGCTGGCACCCTAGCCATTGAGCTATAGGCACTGAGCCCATAATAAACTCTTAAGACAAATTTTGTTGCATGTATTTATGTAAATATACACATATGTACACACATAAGGGTTTGAGTCACAGTGACAGATGAAGGCTGAATGTGTGTTCTGTGTTAGGTGCTGCCCAGTGTAGACATTGATAGCATTTCAAGTGGAAGTGCTGATGCCGATCCATCTTTCCCTAGTTCCAAAGAAGCATCTTTGCCTCCTCTGCAACCCTTGATACAGGTATATTTCTGAATTTTACCATACCGTTTTGAGTGATGTCTGGTTGTAGATTTGGACAAATGTTTTTTTCTTGTTTGTTAGTTTGTTTCTTTGTTTTGAGACAGAATTTCACTCAGTCGCCTTGGGGTAGAGTCCTGTGGCATCTTAGCTCACAGCAACCTCAAAGTCTTGGGCTCAAGAGATCCTCTTGCCTTTTCCTCCCAAGTAGTTGGGATTACAGGTGCCTGCCACAATGCCTGGCTAGTTTTAGAGATGGGCTCTTGCTCTTGCTCAGGCTGGTCTTCAACTTCTGAGCTCAGGCAAACTACCTGGCTCGACCTCCCAGAGTACTAGGAGCCACCACACCCAGCAGGACAAATGTTATTCCATTCAAAGTTTTCTATCATAATCACAATCTATTATAATAATTTAGATTTTGAGGAAAACATTCACAACAAATCTGAAATTATTTATAAACTTGAAGAAGAAAGTTTGTTTTAGATCCTTACATTTATAAATATTCAGAAATGATAATTCTTAGTGTAACTTTTTGGTAACTATATAGTGAGACTTCTATATTTGAAGAAAGAATTTCTCTCTCTTTGGTGAAGAATCTTTGGTTTACGTGGGAGTTACAGATTTCCTGAATGCAAGTTTTATTTTGACTATTGGGCTTCATATTTTTTTTTTTTTTGAGACAGCCTCAAGCTATCCGCCTGGATAGAGTGCTGTGGCATCACAGCTCACAGCAACCTCCAACTCCTGGGCTCAAGTGAGTCTCCTGCCTCAGCCTCCCAAGCAGCTGGGACCACAGGCGCCTGCCACAACACCCAGCTATTTTTTGGTTGCAGCCATCATTGTTGTTTGGTGGGCCTGGGCTGGATTTGAACCCACCACCTTAGGTGTATGTGGCTGGCGCCTTAGCCACTTGAGCCACAGGCACCAAGCCTGGGCTTCATATTTTAAGATGTTATTTTGTCATCATGCTGTTGATGTGATGCAAAAATACATATTTCTTCCTGGTACTTATTTGCTTCTGAATAATGAAGTTGTAGCTTTACTAAACAGCAGTTAGCACTGTAACTGATCCCAGATTTCATCTATTGTAAGGAAATTTTGGTCACCAAGGATACAGGTTTTTGTTTCTTTTTTTTTAAGAGACAGACTCTCACTTTGTCACCCTCAATAGAGTGCGGTAACATCACAGCTCACAGCAACTTCCACCTCTTGGGCTTAGGTGATTCTCTTGCCTCAGCCTCCTGAGTAGCTGGGACTATAGGTGCCCACCACAATGCCAGCTATTTTGTTGTTTCAGTTTGGCTGGGGCTGGATTTGAACCCGCCACCCTCAGTATGTGGGGCCGTCACCCTACTCACTGAGCCACAGGCACTACCTGAGGATACAGTTTTAAAGAGAGAGAACACCAACATTCTCTTCACAATGACAACTAATTAAATAGAATAGGCTCTAAATGGCATTTGTGCCTAATTTAATTTTTTCATCAGTCGTTTTTATCAGAAATTTATTGAAGCTTATATGATAATAATTAATACATTTTTGGATTGATTATCATTCAGATTGGCTAGATTTCTGTGACTGTTGTGAGGAGTACAAATTTTGTAAAATAACTTTTTCTAAATTATTTGATTCTGTGTCTATTTTTGTACATTCATATATGTATGTACTTACATACACATTTTAATATATCTACACATATAAATACTTTCATTGTTTGTTTTGAGACATGGTCATTCTGTTGCCTGGGCTGAGTGCAGTGGCATCATGATATCTCACCGCAGTCTCCATCTTCTGTGTTCAAGTGATCCTCCTGCCTCAGCCTCTAAGTAGCTGGGACTACAGGTGCCTGCCACTGTGCCTGGCTAATTTTTAAAAATGTTTTGTAGAGATGCATACTTGCTATCTATCTTGCTCAGGCTGGGACACTTTTTATATATGTAGATACACATTCTTTATCTTAACTCTAGGAGAGCTGTTATGTCAATCTGTTGATCAGTTGATTTAAGTTGCATTAATGGAGTCCTTGCCAGGTAAACTGATATTTTATTTTTTATAGCTATTGAAATGAAAACCTAATATCTTGGAGATTAGCTTGGATTTCACTTATTAAATTTACTTTGTATAGGATGTTAAGATAGAAAAAAGCTTATACTATAGGTGAAATTATAATAAATTTTGTATAAGTTTGAAAAATGTTAAGCACAATGAAAACTTTCTGAAAATGCTTTCTTAGGCTCCAGAAATTCTGAATGGGGATGAAGAAGAGGTGAAGTTTCCAGGAACGAACTTTGATGAAATAATTGATGTCATTCAGGTAACACAGCTTAAAATGCTGAGAAATTATTTTCTACCAGTAGTTTTCTGGGTAGTTAACTATCTTTTCACAATTAATATTATTTTTGAGAAAATTGCTTCTACTTTTGAGTTAAATATACAGATCCCTTTTATTTTGAAAAGTTATCAATTTATTATTTTTTTTTTAGGTTTTTGAAAAGCTGTGACTTTGTTATTGTGTAGTACCATCTTGTCTTCCCTGTGTCACACGTCTGCCTCCACGAACCCCAGCGATTGCCGGTTCCCAGCTAGCTTCTGTCTTTCCTGCTTCCTGTTTCTCTTTTCTTTCCATTTCCTTTGGCTTCCCTCCTACTGCTCTACCCTTTCTTCTTTCTGATACATTTATCTCTTTTGATTTCTGGATTAGTAGCAGAGTCCTTAGTTTATTTATATTGAGAAAAAGTTGTAAGGAGTTTAAAATTCAAAGGATGATCCCATATGGAAGTAGAGTTATGGAAATTATAGATACAGTAAAATAGAGGGAAAAAATAAGAGAAAGTAAAATGTAAAGGATGCGAGAAAAGATCATTGAACGTAGAGCCACTTGAGTATCATATTCATAGGCTTTAGAGAAGACACTTACTATCTCTGACTTCCAGAGCTAAGACCAGTTTTGTTAACCACAAAATGAAATCCAATGTAGACTGTCCAGAGGTATGCAACATATTGATGTTATTTCCTCAAAAGTGTGTCTTCTCGGGCAGTGCCTGTGGCCCCATACACCGGAGGAAGCGGCTTCAGACCAAAAAAACTGCAAAAAAAAAAAAAGTGTGTCTTCTCATTTAAGTACCACATAAGTATTTTGAAGGCAGGACCCTTATTGATCTTTTCATCTTTAATGTCTAGCAGAGATGTTTGATAACTGTTTATTCAATGTATAAGTGAAAGAAACAGTTATAGAAATAGTAAAGGATTTAGAATTCAAAGACAAGGATTTCTACCCAGCTCTACCTTTCTTATTTGTTGTGGACTTCATTTTTCAATGGTGTTGTAATATTATTGACTTCAGATATTTAAAGTAACCAACCTATTCTTGAGTCATGTATTGAATTATTCATAGATAAAATGTTATAAATATCAGTGATTTTCTTTAAAATGATAAACAAGGTTGGATAATTAAGTTCACAAACTTGTTAAATGTCACTGTGGTCACCTTTAACGTACTCCACGTGAGAGGCTGTGCACCCACACCATTACCTGGTCCATCCTTGGGAGCAGTTTTGGAACTCTTTTCCTGAAATAGCCATCAAAACTGTTGTCATACAAGGTCTGACAGTTAAATTTGCAAACTCCTCCTAGAAAAAGTGCTATATACATCATTGCATATCACTATGTTCCCAAGATGGCCGGGGGGGGGGGTTACTTTGAAGGTGACTATAGTGATATTCAGCAGTGAGGTATGTAGCACTTTTTCTAGGATGAGTTCTTGAACTTAACTGCCCTAATGTATATGAAGAGGAAAGTGGATTGGGAGGGGGGTCTAGATGGCACAGGATTGACTGTGAGTTGATGATTATTGCATGTGGGAACAGGAAGATGCAGTTCAAGTTATTTACGTGTAACAGATATAGTACGTTGACATGATTTTGTTTGCATTTAAATAGGTATGACATTTTTCATAATACAAAATTTTAAAACTCCAGAAGTAACTCTTTTAATCATGGTATCATGATGCAAATAATGAGTAGGGTGATATAGCTGCATCTTTAAATGTAAATTATAGGTTCTACAAGAGCGAACATGATATTGGGGACCATCAACATTTCTTTTTTTTTTTTTTTTTTTTTTTTTGAGACAGCGTCTCAAGCTGTCGCCCTGGGTAGAGTGCTATGGTGTCATAGCTCACAGCAACCTCAAACTCTTGGGCTTAAGCGATTCTCTTGCCTCAGCCTCCTACATAGCTGGGATTACAGGTACCCACCATAATGCCTGGCTATTTTTTGTTGTTGTTGTTGCAGTTGTTATTGTTTTAGCTGGTCTGGGCAGGGTTCGAGCTGCCAGCCTCGGTATTGTGGCTGGTGCCCTACCCATTGAGCTATGAGCACCGCCCATCAACATTTTTATGATTATTAATTAAGTTCATAAATTTCCTGTTCAATGCAGGGATTAAGTCTTTTATTTTATTTTATGATTGTATTTTTTTTTTTTTTGGCCAGGGCTGGGTTTGAACCCGCCACCTCCAGCATATGGGGCCAGTGTCCTACTCCTTCGAGCCACAGGCGCTGCCCTTATTTTATGATTGTATAAAATGAATATTGGGTTTGAAAATGACAAACTGTGTAAGGTTTCTTCAATGTGACATATATAACTAATGTAATTACTACAATTAATAGGATACAACATAATTAGAGATGCTGTTGGTTAGTTTAGAAATGTTAGGGCCAGGCGCTGTAGCTCACGCCTGTAATCCTAGCACTCTTGGAGGCTGGGGCAGGTGGATTGCCTGAGCTCACCGGTTTGAGACCAGTCTGAGCCAGAGCAAAACCTTGTCTCTAAAAATTGCCAGGCGTTGTGGCAGGTGCCTATAGTCCTAGCTACTTGAGAGGCTGAGGCAAGAGAATCACTTAAGCCCAAGAGTTTGAGGTTGCGATGAGCTATGATGCCACAGCACTCTACCAAGGGTGACAAAGTGAGACTCTGTCTCAAAATAAAAAAAAAAGAAATGTTGGCTAATTAACTTGGCGACGTTTTTAGTATGTAGTTGGAAATCCGTAAATGAATAAATATATGAAAGTATTAGTTTTGTTTTTACTATTATTAGGAAGAAGAAAAATGTGATGAAATTCCAGACTCTGAACCAATCGTGGAGTTTAACAGAAGTGTAAAAGCGGTTTCTACAAAATATAATGGTCCTCCCTTTCCACCAGTTGCTTCTACTTTTCAGCCCACTGCTGATATTTTGGATAAAATAATTGAAAGAAAAGAAACATTGGAAAATAGTGTAATTCAGTGGTAAGTTTAGAATGGTGTTGGTTATTACATATTAAAATAGTATCAATTATTATTACCTAATACAATAACAATTGTAATTTCTTATTTCTTGTTGATACATATGAATATGAAATGAACTGTATTATCTCTGTTTTTATTTATGAGAAAGGAAATTATGGAATAAACAAAATAACTAAATATTAGTACAGTTATTAAAGTTAGGATTAGAAGAATATTATAATATTGAAAGATACTAATGACATACTGGTATATAAATGAAGCAGGATACTAACAGTGCCCAGTTCTCAAGAACTTTCTCAAGAAGAAATGTTCATAGGACAAAAGCTTGAAAACAAATGCATACCAAATTAACTGTATTTATCCCTTCAGGGATAAATATAATTAATTTGGTATGTATTTGTTCTTGGGTTTCATAGAATCTAGTTTCAGGGATAAGTATCTGGGTAGTTTAGGGGTAAGCCTTAATCTGATTTTGTTGTTGCTGTGGTTTTGTTTTTGGAGACAGAGTTTCTTTGTGTTGCCTGAGTAGAGTGCAGTGGCATCTTCATAACTCTTGCCATCCTCTTGTCTCAGCCTTCGGAGTAGCGGGGACTTACAGGTTTAAGCCACCATGCGTGGCTAATTTTTTTTTCTATAGAGATGGGGGTGTTGGTAAGGCCTCAAGCGATAATCCCACCTCAGCCTCCCAAAAGATTTTTCTTTTAAACTTTTATATATTTTCTAAATTTTCTACAGTGGACATGTATTACTTGTGTAATAATAATTCTTAAGAAGTCTTATTAGATACTCTAAAGAAATATACAAGAAGGTTCCTGGTCTGTTCCTCTTTCCTTTCCTGAAAATAGCCTTGAAAATTTGTTTTTTCTTTACTTGGTTGTTTTGTTTGTTTGTTTGTTTGTTTTTTTTAGAGACAGTCTCACTTTGTCTCCCCCAGTAGAGTGCTGTGGCATCACAGCTCACAGCTCTTGGGTGTAGGTAGTTTTCTTGCCTCAGCCTCCCTGGTAGCTAGGACTACAGGTGTCCACCACAACGCCTCTCTATTTTTTTTTTTTTATTGCAGTTTGGCTGGGGCTGGGTTTGAACCTACCATCCTTGGTATATAGGGCCAGTGCACCACTCACTGAGCCACAGGTGCCACCTTTTTCTTTACTTTTTAAGAGAAAAGTTACCATATATTTCAGTACATCTATTTCCTGAAGTGAGGGAAGTTGGACTTCTTTTATTTATTTATTTTGTATTTATTTTTATTTTTATGAGGGTACATACATTTTGGTTACATAATTTGCTTTTGTACATTTTAAGTCAAAGTTGTAAGTGTGCCCTTCTCTCAGTAAGTGTGCATTGTGGACTTATTTTCCAGTTCTCAGGTTATCTGGTTTTATAATTGTGGTCTCAGAAATATACATCTTAAGTACATGATATGCTGGATAATCGTTGGCCCACATCTTATATTTTGAGTTTAGGAGTTTCATTAAGCATTTTGATAAACTACTCTGAAAGATTTTAATTTAATTTCATAAACTCTGTGCCTCAAGGAGAGTCTGTTTCATGGGATGTATCTTAGGAGACATACAGTATTTTATTATTTTTCTTCTTTCCAGATTTAACTTTCTGAGTAACTGCTTTCACATGTAAATGTTTGTGTGCATGAGTAAAAGTTATTTTCAAGGATGGTATGCCTAATAAGTTATACATTTCAGTCAAATTTAGGAATCTTAACTTTTATCACTGCCCCTCCCCCCAGGGTAGAACAAGAAATAATGTCGAGAGTCATCTCTGGGCTCTTCCCAAGTCCACACCAAGCCGAGTCTAGTGTTAGCCTGTCAGTCAGCGAGGCAAGTGAGTTCCCTACGTCTGATGCTGGTGAGTGAAGTGAAACCTTTTTTTTTTTTTTTTTTTTTT